AGTCCGCCAGATCGAAGTAAGTTTTTTCTTCGGGTAAGTCGGTGGCGAATCCGACTACGGGAATTGTTTTTTGAGGCTGACAAGGGGCTTTTATTTTTAGAAGGTATAAATCGTTAATCTCGGGAGATAAGAAGGGAGGAACAAGTTTCTTTTCTTGGTAAGCCTTGGATAATATATCAAGATTTTTTTCACTGAGAATGGTGTCATGTGTAAGTAATAAATTCCCCTCATTATCGTATAAATTTTCGGCTAAGATTTGTCTTGATACTTGCCGCCATAGACTAGATTTTTGGTTGAATTTTTTCCGCCCTAAATTACCAAAAACAAAGTAAGAATTGGGCTGGTTAAATAAAAAATGAGGCAAATTAACACCCGGTTCGAGAGATTGAGCGTTAGGATAGTCTTCTTTATTCAAATCATCTTGACCGAATAATTTATCTAGGTCCTCCGGGGTTATTTGGTAAGTTTTCATTAAGTCCAAGAAGTTAATAGTAGTTCCCGAATTAAGAAATCTTAACTCAATAATACCGTTTTTTTTCTTATTAAATGAAAGATTAAGCCAGGGACCTTTAAAAGGGATAATTTCCCCGTAAATTTCTTGATTTTCGTCAGTAAAAAAATAAACCGAGGGAGCCCGCACAGACTGAAAAACTACTACTTTATCATGACCATTGATGATAAAATTGCCGTGGGCTGTGATTTTAGGCAACTGGCAAAAATCTATTTTCTTCTCGCCCACACACTGAAACTCGACAATTAAGTTTTTTTCTTGTCGCTCCGAGAGTTTAAAAGTTATTTTTAGTTTTTTTTCTTTTTCTTGGACTTCTCATTGCTGACCCGATACTGTTTCCTGGTAATCAAACTTACCGATTTTGAAACTTTTTTCGACCCATTGCTTAATATCGTTGCCAATCTCGTCGCCCGAGAGCGGAATTTGAATTTTGCGGCAAGTTCAGTCCCAGAACCAAACCAAGGAAACCGCATAACTTCATGTTAGAGCCTTAGTGCGAGCCTCCTCTTCGCTGATTTTAGGTTCTTCGTAAGTAATTTCGCCAACTCCGCACCGAATTTGATTGTTATAATTACTAAACTCGGCCGGAAAATAAGCCGCAAACAACTGGTCAAGACCAGTGCGGAAAAAATTATCATATGATAATTTTTGTTCTTCCCCAAAATCTTTGTTCGGTAAGTCTTGGAATAGCGGAGAACGATTAAGACCCAAATACTCTCGTCGTTGATTTTTCCCACTTAGAATTATACGATATGATGACATTAACTAACTTTCTTTGATTTCTACTAGTCCCCCTTTTTCCTCCAAGATCTTTTGGATTTTTTCGGCCTCGGGGTGAGGGATGTTTTCCAAAATTATTTTTTTTTCTTCGAGTAGGTTTTTCGCTTGAATAAGATTAATGGTTTCGGCTTTTTTTTCCTTGCTAATATTCACAACTTCTTTACAAAACTTCTG